TTCTTCTATAAGACTGTTCCATGTTGGTGATATTTCGAATCATATTTCATTAATATTCTTTTTGTCTCATTCATACTATGAGTTGTAGCTGCGCGTAATGTTGATCCTGGTGATGTGTCTGGAAGGAAACAGCTCCGCAATAATTTGCAGTGCAAAAACTTCGAATGGTAAATTTCTTTATTATTTCAAAGATCTGAGGAATCTTAATGCTTCGAATTGGGATATTTTATAGGTACCTGAAAAATATTTATCCGGAAGCTCCACTACCATATGATTACAAGTCTTTGGGGGCCATTGCAAATCAGGTACCTTTTGTACTTTGTGCTTGCATTTTAATTATACAGGCTGATTTTATCTTCTGTTCTCAGGGAACTAGGCTATGTCTTGATACCATGGGTAAGAAGGATGGACCTGTTGGCATACAGACATGTCATGGATCAGGTGGAAATCAGGTCCGATATATTTGGCATATTTTACCCTATCTTTTTTTATTTATTTTTTTATCGTAATGCTGTTTTCAATGCAAACATATGAAAAATGGTAACATGTGTTTTGAGAAGGGGCTCACATGGGGAGCGTTTGAAGCTGACGATCAGGTTTTTTACTGCTAACTATTTCATTTCTTCTCGGTTCTCCTTATTTCTTTATGTTGGGTGTGTTGCTATGTTTCAAGGGGACCTGGTTACCTTATTTCATGCTATCTGTACATTTCTGTTTTATAAAGTGTGATGAGAAATCCGTTACGATATCGACCATCATCCATCATCTAGCTACCTGATCCTTGTATCGGAATTTTCGAGCAGTTCCGAGTAGTGAAAGAGATGAGCTCTCGTGGTTTACCGTGCGCAGGTGGCTACTCTGTACTTAGGTGCAAGTCGACCTAACTCTGTACCTAGGTGCGAGACGACCTAAATAAAGCGCGGAAATCCAAAGGTCACTTTGCTGAACGCGAATCCTCATTAATTGATTCAGAAGGAATAAAGTTAAAAGTGGTGAAGTGAAGTGAAGAGTTCAGAAAGGAACCCCTTTCTTGAGTCACAACATTACTTACTATATCTCCACAATAAAGCTTGATCGAAAACGAATAAGCCAGTATTTGCCCTTTCTGATTTTGCGTGTGCACGAAAGCAAATGTTAATCAGTGAAATGAAAATATCAGTCATCTATCGTTTAGAAATAACACTTCTAAACTCCATTTCACTTTCTATTCTTGTTATCCTCTTCATTTCATTCCATTTTACTCGATTAAGGCGACATGCGCTCGATTAATGGTCTATAGTAATCTTGAATTTTTTTTTTAACTTAATTATCCTAGTCTCTCAGCTCGATGGAACCTTTCATACTGAATGTTCGAAGGGGATTTTTTTCCTTGAATGAACGTTGCGAACATCGAAGTTGGGCTATTTTGCGCAGTTGCGGCTCCTCATTGTTGGGTTGTGGTTCATTGTAGGCAGTACATATAATACCCTTTGTGCGTGGAGATTATTTTGTTACGGTCAATCGAATAATGACTTGTAAAAACCCAGGCTTGTGCTGACCGATTATTGAGCGGTCGTTACCTACTAAGGAAAGTGAGCTTCCAGACGCTGATTTCGAATAGATACATGTTCAGATATCTTTCTTTATGTAGATCACCACAAACGAGTTCTTGGCTCACCCAGCACCGAACAAATCTGACGCTTGAATAATGTTCATCCTCTTTGAAGAACGACAAAAACACTTATAATATTTCTTGTGTTAAACCCGCTCTTTCGTTGTCTCCTTTTTTACAGAGTTTAGTTTATTCATACGGTACTCTTTTAAGGCATGGTCGCTGACAGGGCGAGGAGAAATTCGATCTGATGATCTATGCCTTTCCTCGAGTAGTCTCGATAACCTCGTCCGACTAGAGCGATGTAATGTTGCATCGTCGAATACTAAGCACCTTTTCAAGTATGATAATGAGGTCAGTTTTTACTCCTCAAGCATATCAGACATATCTTTTGGAATAAATTACTTCAAACTCATTTAGCACTTGATAAAAAGTCATAACGTCTTTCAGAATAAACAGCTTATTCATGTGAAAACCCGGTACTGTGTGACAGCCTCAGATGGTAAAGAGGTCGTAGTAAGGCCGTGTAATTTCTCTCCAGATCAGACCTGGGCCCTCGAGGGCTATATGCCGTAAAGTTTGAAGCTATCAATTGTTGTCGTTTTCAATTTCATTGTCGGTGGTTGGGTATCTCAAACTGTACACTCAGCATTCGTGGTATTGTTAGGGTACTGCTTTCCAAATAATTGAAGGAGACGCGAACCTGAATTCTGTCATGAGTCTCACTATACTTACTTGCATACATAATATTGATTTGTTGTTTTGTTCTCGTTTTTTCTGGTCATTTTATCGGCGTGTAGCTTGGTTAGTATCCATTTTTCTTCGTGCCTTATTGGGTAATCGACGGTAATCAGCAGTTCTAAAGAAACGATAATAATTTGTGTGCATTAATTTGTTTTTCCTCATTGGTTGTGAAATATTTGTGATATAATTGGGTTGTTTATTCTCATACATGGGTACTGCTGGATTTTACAGAATAAAAATGTTATTACTTTCCTCTTGACTCGCATCAGAACGGTGTTTTTCCTTTACTTATTTATATTCACAATATTAAGGGAATTTTTAAAAGGAACCAAATCGTTGCTGTAGTTACTCTTCTGCTTGGTTCTACTGCTTTGAAACTTGAAAACAGACGGTAATACCGGTATTGCGTGGTATTTTACCAAAGGTAGGGTAAGGATCCAGATACGGGTGCCGAATTTTTTCGTCCCTTGTGTCATAACCACAGCCAGCGCTGAGCTGAACTTTCTTTCGCTTCGTGTACGGCTGAGGCATCGTTTATACTACGCGACGGGCCTGCCAGTAGCCTTGACTTTACAGCCTTGACGCTTGGTGCCAACGAAGCCTTCTTTAGTTGTTTGGCGTGAAGACCTCCGTCATCTGCTCTGTAGCTGTGCTCTCATGTTTCGCAAAAATGACTGTGTTTCGGCTCATAACAGGGTTGTACATATTTATCGTATAAAATTGAATTCCTTTTGTAGATAAATGGCCGCACCGCGGCAACCGCTGCTCTCCTTAACTAAAAAAGCTTTAAACAGCGTTCAAAGGCGCAACGGTTTTATTCACAAATGGAGCCATTTCAAACGCTGGCAAGAGTTGCAGAAGGCAAAGGTACGGTATCGATTATGCATAAAATCGTAATTCGTATTCTTATTTTTTTTTGTTCTGTTAACTCGTTTTCTGTTTTACCACTTGTGCCGCGCAAAAATGTTGCTTAAATATCGATTTCACTTGAATATATTCAAATTTTCGAAGTCTGCTATTAGTCTTAGAAGGTTTGCGATTCATGGACAAAACTTCAGTCTCGGACGGTACTCGAACCCGTACTTGTGCTTTCCGGCCACCGTGCTTTGCCCTCGCCTTTTCAATGGCTTATATGCCATAGCTTATCAACACCCACACGTACAACGTGTTGAGCCGGGGGCAATATCAGCATTGACCTGTTCAGCTGTGAGCTTTTCTTGTTACCCCTTGTTTTAACGTGATATTTTGTTATCTGCTGTTATTTTGCCGCAGTACGCGACGCGATGGTTTCGCAAGGTAGGCGAGTTCCTTATTATTAGGATCCCTTTAATTAAATGTGGGGTGACTTTTCACCAGAGTAATAATGGTCGCTGGTTTGTGGGATTCCCATATATTTCATTTCCGATCACGGCTCAATTTTTCATTAAAACAGCCTAGAACACAGAACTGTTTTTATGTCGAGGAAGCTTGAAAATTTTATCATCATACAGGATGCATCCCCTTGGCAAACTACCAAAATGCGCCATGGGCCTACTAGGTACTTAACTCTTGTCAATTACAGGATGAATATGACGAAGAACGAATTCGATTGAAAACTTGGATGAGATTCCCTACAGGGATGTATTTAACTCCAGAACGTTCTGAGGATGGTACGTTTACAGTTTATGTCGCTTTTCTTATTGTAACTTCAACTTCTCCCTTATAATTACTCGAAAACTGGTTCCGCGCTTAACATTTACTCAGTGGGGCGCTTTCGGGTCATAAAAAATTTGAGAGAGTCCAGTCTTCCGCCTTCCATTTCTGAACCAGTTGAAAGCAGTGCGAATAGTCCTTAACTTTTCTTCAATGCAAACATTGTACGAGTTTTTATGAAGGAACAGCTGGCTGGTTAGACAGTTTGTTGACTATAAATCTTAAAAAAGGGCAGAATTTTGGTATCAGAGTTGTGTTACGGATATTAACGAAAGGTGCATAATAATTCGAAGACCCACCGTTTGGGAAATAAGTGAAATCAACGACTCTCTTCAATACATGATATTTTTTTAGTTTTTTTTTACTTTACCTGATGAGCTTAGAACTGAGAAGTTTTTAAAAACGGGATCGAAAATTTTATCGAATTGCTGTCAAGCTTCTTTTCAGTTCTACCCAAAAAAGATCGAGCTGATATGACACGGAGAGATACGGGAGCTCTTTCAATGGAACTGCTCACTGCTCATACACAGATGAGATATCTCGACCACAGCTTCGACAATATTCGGCGATATAACCGTTATAAACATTTTCAACATTTGCAATTTGATCAAAGGTAAAAGCGCTTCAACTGGCGTCATTACCTGTTTCGTTTTCTATTTCAAAAACTTTTTTCCAGAATGATTCCCGAACGGTTACTATTCTTAGGCCCAGACTTGGCTGCTGCACATTTTCTAGTCCATAGAGGAGCTTCTGTAAAGTTTATTGGTGATGATGCTTGGTACAAAAGGGATAAATGGGGGGTCAGTTCAAACAGGTCCTAAATCTTCTTGTCTTTGCCTTCTTCATGCACACATTTTCAGAATTACAGTTTGCCTGGAACTAAGGTACCAGGACTTTATATAGAAGCTATAGACGCATCAGGAACAGAGCTCATGTTTGAAGGTAAGTATTGTCTTTCTAATTTCAAGTGATCTCATCACCAGAGTGCTTGCAGGTTTTGAAAATTTACAAAATCTAAATCACCTGAGGATGCTACGATTGGTTGATTGTCCTTATGTTGATGATTGGACGTTATCAAGGATAGGAGGAATGATGGAAACTTTAGAAATGCTTGACCTGAGTGGATGTCATCGGATTTCTGCGAAGGGTAACATTTTCACCTTTTTGAATTGTTTCTTTACTGCCTGTGTAGACAAATATTACATTTATAGGCCTTATGGGATTGAAATTGTTGAAATCTTTAAAATATCTTCGACTTGAAGGAATCGAATGCAAGGTAAACACACTAGTCTTATATTTTACTCATCTGGTTGTTCGTCAATTTCTTTTGACGAATTACTGTGCAAGCGCAGTGAAGCATCTGATGCATCATGAGAATCTGTATGGGGAGTATCTTTAGTGGATTATTTCACATTCAAACTCTACTCTTTATTTGGAGTTTTGACCTGTGAACGTCACTTTATGATTTGCGAGGTAGGGTAACGTTTTTTAGGAACGTACCCTAACAAATTAATGAAGATCTCACTTTTGAAATGCTCACTCGAGCGTTCTTTTTCTCGATCTAATTTTCCTTCTCTTCCTCTCATACTCAGCCAGACGTTTAACACCAGAGCCAGGCCCAATTGTGCAGTCCCTTGTCATATTCAGGTATAGCGATTCAGAGTTACTTACAATATGTTTTTTTTGTAGAATCTGGGCAAAGCTGCATTGTTGCTAGAGGAAACTATACCAAAATTGAAAGTTCTTGGTGTCGATTACGAGCATGAACTGGAAGCGTTGGAAGCGAATATAAGGCTTCTGGAAAACCCAAATGTTATCGAGGACGCGAAAGGTGCTCTTCATTCCTTCACTTGGTACCATCATTATTCGCTATCTATTGATCCGCCATGAAGAAGTCTTTAGGGAACATGTTTGTTGAAGACGACAATGGACGACTATTCTATATTGGAGGGAATGTGAACGAACGACCAGCCGTTTGTGACAATGACAAACCAATTATGACTAGTACGATACGAAGGTTAGTGGCTATTTAGGGTCTTCATGAATCAAGTATGGTACGTTTCCCTTTCAGAGAAATCCCCAAAATGAGCGACGAAGAGTTCGAGAGGATTGACAGGTTGTCAGGGGGCAAACTGCGTCATCTTCTTGTCGGATCTCCGAGTGGTTATGAGTGGAATTCACAGGTGCGACCTCCTCTGTATATGATTTCCCTAAGTAGCAACCAANTGGAGAACTCCAGTTTTTCAATATATATAGGTATTTTTTATCATTTTTTAAAGAATTTCTGTGTTTCCATTACGTGCTGGTATCCGTAGTGTTAATTAATTCTTTCGGGTTGTAAGGAGGAATCTAATTATATTTCTGTTTAATTGTTTTTATTTATGACTCTAGGAGGTTGTAAAGTGCAGAAATCTTGGGGTATCGACGTTTCACTGGGCGCACCTCACTTTTTGTACTGGACAGCTTCGAATCCAATCTCAATCATAATTAAACCGGAGTACCCTTCTGTAGGGGCGCATGTCACCATAAAACCTTAGAACAATTTCCAGGTGGAGACTATTCTTCAATTTGAAGCCGAGTACAACGAAAAACGAGGCATTCCTGTTGATCCGAAAATGTTGCCAAAAGAAAGGAGGAAGCCGGTAAAGTTTAATTCCGAAAGCTTATGCCTTACCACTTGATTTTTGTCGCTTGCATGAGGCCTACCACTTTCAGCTGTTGGAAGAGGAAAAACCGGAACGGAAATTACTGGAGGAAATGCGGATAAAGTTTGAAAGTGAATTAGACGATGAATGGAAAGCTTTAGAGAAGAAATTGCTGGAAGACGGTAGTCGAGGAGAGGACGAAAAGAGGGAAGATGAGGACGAAAAGAAGAATCGGAAGCAGGGTGTCAGCTGAAAGCACGCCATTATCTATATGAGTAATAGTCATAGTTGTTCCATAGATGTTATGTGCTCCAATAAAATCGTCAAAACTGGATGGATGGCCGGCTTTCTCGCGTTCGAGGGAGATCCAATGGGCGGCGGTCGGTGTTCACTAGCGTGTGACCTCGCCCTTAGTTGTCGTCGCTACGCTACGTGTTCGTTCTCATTCAAAAACATTCGCTGTCTCATCCCTCAAGTTTATGCTCACGTCTTTTTCTTACGTCGTTTCTTTACCGTCTCGGCAACGACGTTCCGCGTGGGTTCATTCACGTGTTGCACTCATCCATCACACATTCCTTCGTGGAGTCTTACCTTTCTTTTTTCGGAGAACAATCGAATTTCCAGGGATAGGCGTCCACTTGGCGGCCATATTTTTCATGGTCCATTCATTCATGTGCACTTTATTCTTGCATCGATCAATATGAGGCTAATTACCGGAGTAATGGGATTTGCTAGAGCTTTCGTAAGAGCAATTGTTGACTGATGAGGCTGACCGCCGGCCGCACCTGGCAACAGGTCGTGCGTGAGTGCAAGAAAAAAGGGGGACTAACCGCAAAAACAACGACGTATTGAACAAACAACGTGCACAATTGGTTGTCTGGATGTCGCTTTCCTTTCCGCTTCTTCTTACAACCAAAACACGCACTCTGCTTGCTTTTTCACCATTCTTCTGGTCACTCAGCATCTCTACTAATCCTCTTTGTCTCATGCACTGGAAATTATTTGATTTTTTTCTAAACTTTTAGGTTCTCAAGCCACTTGGACCATTTGGTACTCATTAACTCGCCTAGCATAATCGACGGGATTAGCCCAGCTCGAAGTCTTCCCTTGATTTTCTTGGGGTAATGAATGGTGAGAGAAATTGAACGGGCGTGGGCGGGCTCAGTCGCTCCTTGGCAACAGCCACTATTTGGTTATGTGCATAAAAAAAGGAGTGGTTTTCATTGACTTCGAGAAGCTATCATCAATGGGTTTTTTTGTTTTCCTATTAAAACTCTTCATTTTCAACCTCAAATTTATTTTTTTTAAAGTATTCGTTAGATATTATTCGAGGGATGTTCCTGTTCCTTACCCATCGTCTGTAGCTGATAATTAACACCGAGGGCTACCCAGTGGCCAGCAGCTAGCCATCCATTTTTTCATCATCTTACAATTAGATGAATGACTGCAGTGCGCCAGTGAAAAGGCCGAAGTGCAGTGAGGTGTCGGATCCTGACCGATCCAACTCCCGGTCTGCCGAGGAAATCTGAGACAATCCAGGTGACTTTATACGCCAACAAAGTATTGGTGGTATTTGAAATGTCGCTATTTCTGAATTGCCTCGGATCTTTTGCAATTAACGTAATTTTAAACATGCAGGTGAATACCGTGGTAATTTTAAGGGTGGAGAAGGCTACTGAGGTAGGCTCAAGGTGTGAAAGGGGCTGCTGTCGTAATTTCAGACATGAAGGAGGTGACTGCGGTAATTTGAAGGTCTGCATGAGGCTGCTGTAGTAATTTTAAGGCATGAGGGGACGTTATGGACACTTGAAGGTATGGCGAAGGTTGCTCAGGTAATTTCAAGCCATGAGAAAGGGTTCTACATTAATTTTACGGTCGGAATGAGATCACTACATAATTTCCAAGATGTAATAGTAATTTGGTAATTTCTATGGTAATTTCAAGTGCAAAAGAGGGCTTTCATGGTGATTTTTAGGAGTAGGAAGCTTGAACCATATCGTTGATGATGTTAATGTTGGCTAGATAGAATAACGAAGCAGTCTCTAGCGTCTAGCGAAACGCGTCTTTTTCCACCCGAAAGTCGTCTGTCTAGACGAAGGAGTGGCTAATGATAAAAGGGCGCCGATATTATTACTTGTCCAGTTTATGGATCGAAACCTGTCTAGACTAACCCCAAAAACTTGTCAGTCGAGACAACTAATTTCATCGAGAAGATGGAATCATTGAAAGAGAAACCCATTCGATCTCAACCCTCCAAAGAACTCGCTCCTTGTTGTCGTTTAGAGCTTGAATCAACTGGCAGCAAGCGACCCTGGAACCTATACATGTGTCTTGGGCGCCCATTGTTTACTATCGCATTTTGGCGGCTTTACTATCGAATTAATGGGACTGCAAACGCGGGTTGAACCTGTGGCCGCCGTTACGGTCACCGTGTTGAATTTAATCCAGAAATAACTGGTTCAACATAATCCCGAAAACTCGACCGATGGGGTGTTGACAGTAATTTGGAAGCTGGATAGGTGGAGAGCCGTATATTGGGGAAAATTTGGGTTCAGGGGGTCTGAGGGAAACTGATTTTCTACGGCGCCATGCTATGAGCTCGAATGATCCCATATACGACCCGAACCGACGTTAAAGCCAGGTGATGTGGCGCCGATCGACCTTGTGGGTTGTATGACACAAAGGGTGATACACTCATGCGCTAGTGTCTATCGTTGCTCATCGATCGTGGGATCGACTTGTACTGTTTTTTATCGAAGGCGACGCTCAGGCGGTCGATGAGGATGACGCATTGTTGAGGAATGACCAGGGATGATTTCATTACAACATTTTAGCTAGAATTCTCCCTACTCTCTGCTACTCGGACGTAATAGCTGGACGGTAACTGCAATTTATAGCCAAAATGTGAGTTTCTGATGAAATGTTTCATTGGATATTCATGTTTTTTTTTTACTTTGTTGATATTCGATATTGTAAACCAAATGAGTCCCCTAGTTCATGCCTGACCCTTCTCCTTTTGGTGGAAATCTCCGGCACACACAATGTTCTGTTCCGATGCTACACCTGTGCCCTTTTACCCATGAAATTCCTCGGCGCCTTGGAGGATTACGTTTTTTCTAAGGCACTATACCAGGCAAACATATGGGCTAGGAGAACTGGTCCGAAGTAGATTTCTATTCAGCGTGAAGTACGCATGATTTTGATAGGTATTCCGTTTAGTAAGATATATTCATTGAGAATTTGTTTATTTGTTGATTTAGCTACTTTTTTTACCAGTTCGGGGCTCATAAAAGCTGTGATAAGGGTCAACTATGGGAGGTGACGTATTTTTAAATCTCTATCTCGTACTTTTGTAATGTTACCCAGGTGGGTAAAAGTACTTAATCGGTTGTGATGGCAGATGACCTTTTCCCAGTAAACACCGTTTAGATCAAAATAACAAGAAATTTAGCCGTCACCAACGTACAAATATTGGAGCGATAGTCTGGAGTACCTGTTGCAGGGGGGAACTCAGTGAGACCCCAGAAAGAACTGGTTGCCTCAAAGTAACAGCTATGTGAGGTATAAGCTGATAGGTAAATGGGCGAGGTTTCCCTGAACTTTTTTTTGTGAAATCGGCAGCTTACTCAGCTAGCATTCTCAAGATTCGTAGTTCCTAGTTTTTTGAAATTTGCTGCCGCTTATTTTGTGAAATTTTTTTACTTCAATTAGTTGCTGCATACGGTACTTGTATAGCCGCTTTTACTAGTCTGTAGTCCGTCTTCACCACTTTTTTAGATGTAATCTTTAGCAGTTTTAGTTGGTCGACTTCGTTTGCCAGCTCAACATTTACCAAAAAGGTCATCTTGCCATGTAGAGAAAACATCAGACGTTTGCTTCGGTATTTGTCATGACTCTCAAGTACAACTGTAAAGAGTATTGAGTAGTAAAAGCGAGCCCATGAAGAGGAGTGGCGAGGAGAGGA